TCCCTGGATTCTTCGGCCTCGGCATGGATAGGGGCCGAATGGATTCCAAGGGATGGACCCCTTGCATTCCTTTCCGAAGTGATTGATAACTGGGGCATTAAATGCGTCAGTCAGTCGGCGCATTTAACGCTTTGGGGCACGTCGTGCAGGTCATTATTGCCCAAGGCGTCGCTTCACCTTGTCAAGTGAAATGACGGTCGCGGGACCTTTAACACGCCATTGCCCCCTTTATTCGCACGAGCCATCATTTCTCTTGCGAATCGAATCGCCGGCCGCCAGGCTCCTGCCATAATTTCACGTGCTCTGAATATGCTGTCGGGCCGTTCCGTTTCACGAGAATCACACCCCCTCATCTCGAATTCCAGTATGAGTATAAAAACCTAACTCCTTCGCCCTTTCTTCATACTCCAAAAATCCCCGAGTTCAACCCTTTCAAAAGCTACTCCGAGCCTCTCTTTTGATTTCTGCCCTAAAAGCCTCTGCTGCAGCCCTTCCAAAGCCAAAGAATCACCTCTGCTGATCCTCATGACTCGGCAGTTTAGCCTGGTCTAGATGGCTTCCCCCTTTTCTGCCGTCCACTAATCGTCTTTTATTCTGGAAAGTCGTTGTGGGCCAGGGGCAAAAAACGGCCGAGATTCCTTCTCGCTCGTGGAAGAAAACGACATTTCTTCGTGCGAAGCCGAGGAGGAACTGCAAAGTGATTGACGGAGATGGAACGACCTGGCATGATGACTTCAAAACGGCTGTATTCGTCCGGCTGAGTACCGTGGTTGCGTCTACGGCAGAAGCGACGGCCCTCAATATGGCCGGAGTGACGACCCTTAATTCGGCCAGAATGATGGCCGCTTACCGTGGGCAGAGGGATGGCCGCTTACCATGGCCGGGTTGACGGCCCTTAACGTGGCCGAAGTGCCGGTCCTGGCCGCGCCTGGCTGCGCCTATATCCAGAATTACGGCCCGGCCACTGGTCGTAATGACGGCCTTGGGTTTACCCTGCCGCACCTGTATCCTGAGTGACGGCCCTTACGTTTATGAAGGCCGGAGTGAAACCCTGGTTTTTAGGCTAACACATCTGTGTACCGTTTCGGCCTCGACTGGTCGTTCTAACCCTCTGTACAAATGATTTCTCAAAACTGAATATAGGGTGGATCCCCCCTTTTCTGAATGACCGAATGCATGTCTTTTCGCTTTATATTGACCGCACCGTTTATTTGACTCGCTCACCTACCTCCCTCTTTTCTTTTTCTTAACTCTTTTGTCGTAGGTTCTCGGCGCCATTTTCCTCTGAACTTGCGCCGAGTCGTAGTCGTCGAGCTTCAACCGTCCTGATTTCTTCGATCTCCTGAGCATCATCTGCGAGTGAGCCTTCCCCTTTCGTCCACGTTCCCCGACAGCCCGAAGGACTTGAACCCTTCTCTCTAATAGTTTATTAGGGCCATGGCCGTCGGCCAAGACATAGAGAGGCGTGACCACGACCGGATTCTCTGAGGCGCGGCTGGCCCAAAAAACTTTGGGAAACAAGTCGTGCCGCTCGCTAGGTCCCCCTGGTAGGCACGGTCTTGGGTAACCGGGTGCCCCCGGTTCCCCCTGTATTACACCGTCTTTTGTGATAGGTCAGATGTGCTCGGATTGAAGCCCTTGAAGCGGCCTATCCTGTTGCACGCCATTTTGCGACCTTACATGCTGGGCCGTTTGAACGTAAAGCTCGGCCGTCATAACCGGGCCGAGTTGTTTTAAAGAGATGTCGTGGGTTCGACCGGGGTATGTTTGGTCTGCCGGCCATCGAGGTATGGCTATCTGGTTCTGTTGGTCCGGATCAAGGCGGGAAGCTCGGCGCGTCTGCGTTGTCATCAGAATGGCTGGATTGGGTATTTGTACTGGTAGTGGAACGACCGAGCCTTTCTGGTCACACTTTTGTGGCGATGCTTTGGTTACGTTGCTCTGGCCGATCTGTACCTGGCCGGCCAACGCGCGAGCTGGGCCGGGATGCTGGACCGCAGATACTGCAGGGCTGCTCTGCCCTAATGCTTTGGCTAAAGCGTGGAGCGGGCCGCGCGTTGTTTTTGCTGGATGGGTTGGTCTACAATCCGTCTTCGTGGGCTGGCTCTGCCCCCAGCTATCGGCCGGTCGTAGAGAGTGCTGGCCGTAACCAAATGCCTCGGCATGGTCAGAGACGCCGAGACTGCTGTTTTTGTCGCAAGGTTCGGCCCTTTCGTACTCTCGGCCTCTTTGTCCAGCTCCAGGAGACAACGTGGGCGAGGCCGTCGGCATCTCCTCTTGGAAAAGTGTCCGCAACTCGGAGGAGAATCTGTCCATTGCGGCCGTGAAGGATGTTTCTATCCTGTAGGCCTGCTTGGACATCAGTTCTTCCATCACTGCTGGTCTCTGTATGGTCCTGGCCATGCGATCCGTCGTGATTGGAATGCTGGTTTCCATCATAAGTTTTTGACAAGGATCCCACCGGGCGTGCCAAAAGTGTTTGCCGCGCAAATCTCACGCCCTGGAGTTCCGGGCCGAGGGGATGTGCGTTAACACGGGGTTTCCTGCTTTTGGGTGCGGTGCGGTTGTGCGAGGGTGTGCCAGCACGGTTTACCGTGCGTTGATGTTTAGGTGAGTGTTGGATGGATGAATGGTGCGCCTGTTTGATCTGTCTTCCTGGTCAAACGATTGTAGCCAAGAGAGGAACTGGGCTCGGCTGTTAGGTTCACGGCCTGAACTACAAAGCCGTCGAGTGATGGTGTTTGTGGTGGATTTTGGGCGGTGCTCCGGCGCGCTGCTCAGGGAGCGACGGTCGTATGATATATGGGGTGAATGAACGAACAAACAAGGATGGTGCTCCGGCGCCTTGAAAATCAAGGGTCGTATGATATATTGATGAATGGATTCTGCTTACAACCTAACACTACTCCTAGGAAAGCAAGTAAAGATATTGAAAGTGCATTACAGGAAAAAATAAGTTGCTCCGTGGAAGGTTTGTTTTGGTGTTTGAACCCTTTGAATGTAGCTTGAGTCTTGTATTTATAGGAAGAGTTCCTGGGTGAGTAATCAAGGCTGAATTTACGCATAGTGGAGTCTGATTAGCGCAAGTGGGCAGTCCAATCGACATTTGGGATCGTGAAGTATGGTGGTGAGACTCCAGAAATCCCGGTGAATCTCGGCCGCCGCTCTCGATCGTGGGTTCTGAACCTCTGGCCGTGGAGACGCATTTATGGCCTGGATAGCTGGGGAACCAACATCTCAAGCTGTCAGAATCCTTGTGAGAATGTCTACGTCTAATCCCTCTGATCTTCATCACCAAGTCCTGACTTCAGTCACTTCTCACCTTCCCTCATGCATTAAATGCTACTTTGTGGCCAATGGGTTTGCTGCATTAAACAGGCACTACTTCATTAAATGAAGCCTGGGGCCCTGCTGTCACGTGATGATTTGCCTTTAAAGCCTTGGCCGCAATTTTGTTCGACCTCGGCCTCGGCCTATGCTTGAGGCCGAGATGATTATGCCTTGGCATTTCCTCTTTTAATTTTAAAGAAAGCGAAATGCCCTGGCGAAACGCTCCGTTTCAGCCTCTGCGAACAAGTGCCAGGGCCGAGAGAAAGGGCTCCTTCGGCCAGCTCATGGCCGAGATTTATCCGGCACAAACAGAAAGTGCAATATAGGAAAATATAAGTTGCTCCGTGGGAGGCTTTTGTTTGGTGTTTGAACCCTTTGAATGTAGCTCAAGCCTTGTATTTATAGGAAGAGTTCTTGGAGGAGCAATCGAGGCTGAAATTACGCATAGTGGAGTCTGATTAGCACAAGTGGGTAGTCCAATCGACATTTGGGATCGTGAAGCATGGTGGTGTGACCCCATAAATCCTGGTGAATCTCGGCCGCCGCCCTAATCGTGGTTTCTGCGCAACTGGCCATGGAGACGTATTTATTGCTCTAATAGCTGGTGACCTAATCTCTCAAGCTGCAAGAATTCTTGTGAGAATGTCTACGTCTAATCACTCTGT